ACCAGTTTTGTAAATTATATATTTATATTCATATTTAATATTTCTGGAATTCTTTATAATTATTTAACCCATTTTTAAGCAAATAATTGTTAATTAATTAATATTAAGAAAACATAAATCATTTTATGAATGATGAATTATGTAAATAAACTGCCTCACCTAAAGCAATGCTAAATTAAACTATCATTGCTAAGATTCTTGAAGGGGTTCGGCAAAAAATCTAAGATATTACAACTTTGTCATATGTTCCCTTATAAGTAAACGTATTACAAAGTCCTACAACACAAGTGTAAAGTGCTAGTCACTTAATGATATGAACATTGTGTGTGATGTTTGCTTGTTATGATAATATCAACACACTTGAGATATAGCAATGAATTAATGTTTTATTCTAAACAGAATATATCAGTCCCTTCTTTGTACAAAAATACCTGAAAAGGTTACAATTAGAATTTGTAAGCCATTCAGCTAATTACAGAACCAAGCAGAACACATTATCAACACAGAATCTGAAAATAAATCTTTTTTTCTATCCATGTTTTTGTTTGTTTGTTTGTTTTTCATTCCCTGAAAGACATAGATTCATATTTACTTCTATTTTACTTACACTTTATGGTCATGATATTTTTTTTGCATTGAGAAAACATACGCAAAGCTCAGGAATTATTACTGACAGTTGCGAGAAGGTTCTGATTATGGCATGAATAAAGTTACAGAAGTTCTGTTTACATTACAGCTTCCATGTTACACATGTTAGATGTTGTTATGACTCATGACAATAGCAATAATTAAAAGCAGATCCGCAGAATCACACATTAGGTTAATTACAAATCACTATTTATGTATAATGCAATTACTCTGTAACATGAACAGTGTAATCAAAAGCATGACCTCCTCTTTCATCAGAAATGATAATAGTGACAAATGGTCACAAATTCCAGATCAGTAACCATAACCTGAGTAGGAACACCCTCTCAGGTCGACATTAGTGAGGAGAGAGAGGATGGACCGTAGGGTTTTGAGGCACCTGATGTACATAATTTTTAAAGGAATAGTTCATAAAAAATAAAAAAAAGGAGTGATATAGCAGAATGACCAAGCTGCTCTGTTCCACTGAATTCACTGTATGGGCAATTTTTAGGCGAACTATCCCTTTAAGAAAGGGTGGAAGCTATGATCATCACACACAAACTCATCACACAGTCATTGCAGTCAAAACTAGAATATCTTGAAGGCCAGAGATTCATTAAGAGAGAAAGGGGGGGAAATAATGGAGGTCTGGTGTGGTCAAAGACTCAATAAAAAGAAGTACACCATTAGTTTAATAAAAAGAAAAATACAGAGAATAAGTCTTGCTGGTCCACAGGACCAGTTTAAAACAGCCTCCACTTCAACCCTGAGCAACCCAGTTACATTCATTTCTTTTAAATATAAAAAATGACATTTATTTCTTTCACTGATAAACTCTCATCAGATCACACACTTTGCAAATGCTGCTCCCAGCTTCTTTCAAACAACATTGGGGAAAATGCAAAAAAACTAATTTGTCTTTGATTCATATTAAAGAAACATTTCTACAATATCTACAAGGCATACATTTGTTAGCGTTTTCATAATAAGTGTATTTGTGAGAATAAGTGAGTTTTTATAACAGCAATTTAGCTTAATAATGACCTTCAATGACTAAGAGTTCAAAGTCCAGTTTTCTGTCAGCTCAATGCAAACATAACATATTCTTTAAAGGGGTCATATGATGCTGCTAAAAAGAACATTATTTTGTGTATTTGGTGTAATGAAATGTGTTTATGCGGTTTAAAGTTAAAAAAACACATTATTTTCCACATACTGTACATTATTGTTTCTCCTCTATGCCCCGCCCGGCGTTATGCAAATCTTCCCACTTAGTGAGGTAGATATGTGGGGGCGTGTTCGAACGAGCCGTTTTAGGTAGGTGTGGCTAACTCTTAACTTTTATAAAGAATATCTCTTTGGATTTGAGACTTTAGTCTTTGCAACTTTACAGATCTTCTTTATGCACCAAGAGCTTGTAACACTCCAAAGAGAAAGGAAAAAATGAAATCGCATCATATGACCCCTTTAAGGTCGATTAGCATGACAAAGCAACACAAAATAGAATATATTCAATATTTACACACTTAACCAAAGAATAAAAATGCACTAAAATAAGTCAAGTTTCTTCATTTTATATGCCATTGTGGAAAGAAAAAAAATCTGTATCCCAAAATTCAGTGTGGTATCTACAAACGTGTACATGTACAGTTATACATGAATGGAGTGTAACTATAAGCTGCATGTTACATGATATATGCAAAAACGAAACAATGTGGCAAATGAAATAAATCTGTACGGACAATGTGACGTGTAATGCATTACTGTGTTAACTTAGAAATGATGCCCCGAGTGTTTGGATTGTGAACCGAGTCAGACATCCTGCTCACACTCACTTTTAGACTGAACAGTCAACTAATTAACAAGTAAGCGCTAATGGTACTCAGACTACCCTACAGATCAATTTTACTCACACAGGTGATTCACCAGTAACATATAGTAAACTAGTCTTTAAGTAACCTACAACTTCCTCTCTGGCAAAAATCCAAAAATTGTGTTTCTTTCTTTCTTTCTTTTTATTGTTTAATGATCTCATAAAAAAACATATAACCTCTAAACTCAATACATCCATCTGTCTGAACCAGGTGGAAAAATTTCTGATATACTGTTACACTAGAATTATAGTATATCAAAACTGGTTGCAGAATATGCTAATTAATAGCATCATAATTGCAGTGTTGTTAGTTTAGTCCTTGGCTGGCTGATTGTATAGCTTATCACTTATCAGACCCTGAAAAATAAAGACAATAATGTCAAGTTCAGAAAGCTTGTGTGTGTGTGCTTGTGCCTACACACACAAACTGCAGCTAAATCAACACTGACACACTCATCTTTAAACAAGGCTTGAATTAACTTAACTGACACTGAGAAAGATATTCAAGTGAATAATAATAATAATAGCGCTGATTTAAGCTCTGCTGTCTATTTCTGTGGTTAAATCATCCAATGAGATCTAAGTAGTACCTGGCAGACTGAGATCATATCCTTATTACACGGCTCTCTGAAATACTTGATTTTAATTAGGCAATCTCCTCCTTGAAACATAATCAAATAGTTTCAGTAAATCAATATTTCATGTTCATTTTTTAATGTTCTTTTTATTGGTAAGTAGCCGTGTAATAAGCAGCATAATGTCCAGTCAAAATAATCCCCCTTTGTATCAGGATTGACCTTAATTTTTTTTTGTGAAAGCCAGCTGATTGTACATGATCCCTTACTTAACCGAGATGACATGAATTATATCTATCTTAGAATGAACAAACAGCTTCATGTTACTTTGTGACATAATTAAAACTACTTTTTTCATAGACGACAATAGGAAATTTGCAAAATAGACCTTCATCGTGTTGACACCTTTTAATGTGAATGGAAACAAAGCTGTTCAATGGGCTGCATTGAGCTGTCTTAATGCCTATATCATGTGTTAACTTGTGTTTTTGTCCACTGGAATTTTTCTCAAAAAGATGTGTTTTCAATATAGTGTCAGATTAACAACACAACACAACAGTACAACCCATTGAACAGGCTTTACTGACTCACCATAACTAAGGACTATGCAGATGGTGTTCTACAGAAGGATGTTGACGAATAATTAGTGTTAAACAGTTCAAGAAAGGGGGTCTAGTTAACTGAGGTCCAAAAATTCACAAAAATGTGGAAGAAAATTATTGAACAGCGCTGAGAAAAAACGAATCTAAATTTCAAGTAATCAAATCCAGATAAATAAATAAATTTGTTGAAGTAATACTTAAAAATGATTGCATCATTTGCATTTATCTATGTACTGGTCTCTTGGGTGAACTTGTAGACATGGTGGCTATGCCCTTTCTATCTAGTTTAATACAATATAGGTACAAACTAAAAACATGGCTCTTTCGTTGCATTGCGTCACAAGTACAAAAAAATATCTTTACACATCCGTTGTACCTACTGCTACCATGGACAAGGCAGATTATAAATTCGAACCCCATTTTTCTGTGGGTGTTCTTAGCCCGGGCTTCACAGTGTGCTGTCCTCGAAACAATCTTTCGAAACATGGAGAGAAAAATAGAAAGTCAACAACAAAATAGACTGGAGCTGGGACTGAAAATGACAGCAGTTCTGAAGATTCCAGTTTGTTGTTCTAGCTCCTGATAGACTGCAACCCACAGTGGAGTTCCCAGCAGAGGGTTTAGTGGTTATTAATCACTGAACTCAACAGACTCCTCTTTAAAATCAAGGCACCGTTCCTAAAGGATGTGGTGGTGATGTCAGGCCATGTTTTTGTACTCATGTTTAAAGGAATAGTTCATTCAAAAACTAAATTTGGCCATAATTTTTTCACCTTAATGTCCTTCCAAAATCGTATGCTTTTTTTTTTTTTCATTTTCTGGAAGCGGATTTGAGTTAGACGTAAGCTTGGCTTGCAGTCAAAATTTCAGATGCTTCCTCACCTAATGTATCATATGGCAGTGTTTTAGTACTCAAGACTCGACTCTTGAGTTGTAATGCACACGGAAGCATTTGGACTTGGTCTTGACTCGGACTCAACTTTCTTACTGTCTCCAATACAATACTGTCGTATGGCTTCAAAAGACTTGAAATATAGCGCATGCGCTGCATTTAATACTTTCATGGTGTTTTTTGTCCTGGAAACTAACAGCCGTGGTCTCTATGAACTGTCTATGACAGGGGTGCCCAAACTCGGTCCTGGAGGGCCGGTGTCCTGCAGAGTTTAGCTCCAACTTGCCTCAACACACCTGACTTCAAATTTCTAGTATGCCTAGTAAGAGCTTGATTAGCTGGTTCAGGTGTGTTTAATTGGGGTTGGAGCTAAACTCTTCAGGACACCGGCCCTCCAGGACCGAGTTTGGGCACCCCTGGTCTATGACATACATTTGCTTGGCAAATTTATCTTATTGTGTTCTACAAAAAAAAAATAAAAAATAAAAACAAACTTTTAAAATGTAATATTGTTTTGGTACAACAATAGGGTGAGTAAATAACCCAATTTCATTTTTGAGATTAACTATTCCTTGTAGGAGTGAAGGGACATGTCACTTCTTGGTATAGCCAGTAGAGAGCATTGCAGGTTATATTTTGTGAGGGGGAGAAACTAAAAAAAAAAAAAAAATTACACAAAAAAGAGGCCAAATGCATTATGCATGAGAGTTCTTTGCTCAAGAAAATGAGCACATAAGAAAAATAAGACAAGTGGCTAAATATTCTAGTGATTACCGGTGAAAATGATCGAAAGCATGAATTTAACGGCAATGTCTTTTCACAGTACTGAAACCACCAATCGGCTGTCCACATCTCACAGGACATTCTAGAATCAAATCTGCTTGATTTATGAAAGCAACAATTGCTATAGCTTGCTTGTTCCTGGTTCATGAGTGCAAAATGAAATCAAACGTGATTTACGAGTGTTCCGCTGGTCTTCCCAAATCATTATCTGCACGATTAAGACCGTGGATCCTGAAGACTCCCTCTGGATGATTGTCCTGAGAACCTGCTCTGGCCACGGTTGAGTGTGCAGGTGGCTGAGAGGTTCATCAGCAGCTAATACACAAGCTTTATTTCCTTTATTTCTTGCTGGTCCTGTTTGTGTTTGTTGTTTTGATTTTCTCTCCTTGATAGCGAGCTGCTCTTGCAGTGTGCTTTTTCTCCAGCACAGCATTACACCACAGCACACGACGTCTGAGTGTTTGTCTTTAGGCGGAATCAGGCAAACGGAGGTCATAAGGCCACAGTGGTGCAGGGGTGTTTAAGTTTGCAAGGCAGAACTCCTCTGTTCAGCACGTAAAACTCCACCAGCTGGATCAGGTCCGTGAATTTGGTGGCGCCGTCATCAAGGCTCAAGAACATTTGACCATCTTCTTCACACTGAAAAAAAGGAAGATTAGTCAAGTGATTTATATAAACCATTTAATATGTGCTGAAAACTTTTTATGCATTCTCAAATGTGTCAGGCTGCAATTTCATTTCATGCAATGTAAATACACCTAGTATTCTAAACCGTCAGCTTCTACGGTGAGTTTTCTCTACTGGCAGAGCTACGGTTTGAAAAGATTCGTGCTGAGCATGTTAATTGAAGTCATGCTGACATGTGTCACGTATCCGGTCCATGAACTTCCGTCTGCTAGCCATCAGAGGTCACCCTTTCCATTTCATTGACTCTCGCACTACACACTGTTGCATATCACCCCGGACTACATATCCCATTATCCATTGCACTGATGACACACACAGTTGATTGCACACAGCACTGATTGCACACAGCTGTAATCAATCACACATCCCCTATTTAACACTCACTCTGATCCCTTCCCTCTGCCGAGTATTGTTTAGCGAATATCATTGTTTAGCTGATAGCTACCTTACGGAGCCTGCTTAGTTTTCCTAGCCTTAGCGGAGTCTTGCTTTGTCTGTATTCCTATGTTCTGATCGTTGCCTGTGTACCTGGATTTATCCCTCTTGTCTCTTGTCTCGCCCTGTTGGATTCCGTTTGCCGTCGACTGACCCTCGCTAGTTTACCGGATTGCCCTTGCCTTGTCTTCTCCATACCAGTTTGCCATTGTCTGACCCATGCCTGTTTCTGACCACGCCTGTGAATTCATTATTTTTAAGTATTAACTACATTTTCTAAATTATGAACGTGTTTTAAATAGGCTACAGAAATTGAATAAACTGTAAATTAACATTAAAAGTTATTCAACAAAACATTATTTAGTCAAGAGCAGTAAGGGATTTTGTCTTTTGTTGTTTGATTAACATTAATAAAAGACGGCACAGCTTTATTAGGCTGCTGTCACAAGACCTATTTCACGGATTCAATACTGATACTCATTAACTTAAGATAAAACCGACAGTAGCCTGCCTTCTCAATGTGGTACTGGCAGTGCGCGCTTTGGATGTGACTGTACAAACATTTGTTTATCTTAATGATTTTGTTGTTTAATGTTAATTTAAAAATACTATTGTTGGTTCCAAACATATTAACTAATGTTAACATATGGAATTTTATATGTTGAAATGTATCAATAAAAAAATTGACCATAAATTGACCAACTGTCACGTATCCGGTCCATGAACTTCCGTCTGCTAGCCATCAGAGGTCACCCTTTCCATTTCATTGACTCTCGCACTACACACTGTTGCATATCACCCCGGACTACATATCCCATCATTCATTGCACTGATTGCACACAGCACTGATTGCACACAGCTGTAATCAATCACACATCCCCTATTTAACACTCACTCTGATCCCTTCCCTCTGCCGAGTATTGTTTAGCGAATATCATTGTTTAGCTGATAGCTACCTTACAGAGCCTGCTTAGTTTTCCTAGCCTTAGTGGAGTCTTGCTTTGTCTGTTTTCCTATGTTCTGATCGTTGCCTGTGTACCTGGATTTATCCCTCTTGTCTCGCCCTGTTGGATTCCGTTTGACGTCGACTGACCCTCGCTAGTTTACCGGATTGCCCTTGCCTTGTCTTCTCCATACCAGTTTGCCATTGTCTGACCCATGCCTGTTTCTGACCACGCCTGTGAATAAAGCTTGCACATGGATCCGCACGTCTCACGTCTTGTCTGCCCCGTAACAACATGCTTATAGCAAGATACCTGATTAATAACACAGTTTAAAAGCTCAACCTTTTGAAGTTTAACTCTATCGCCCTCCTGGAGTATTGAGGTTTGTTACAGCAAAGCAAGAATGCTTATTATGTACAGCATGCTGTGCACTTGCAATGCATTGATCAAGCATTTGCATCTGCACTCTTATGTGGAGGAGGTTTCTTGTCTTTCACACTCATTCTCAGCAAGTTAAAGGTGGTATTCAATAAATCTAATGCATACTTGGAATACTTGAGAGTATTTTAAGGAATGCCAAATGTGCATCAGCATACAAAGTGAATATGCTATATGTGTTCTGAGTGCAAGAAAATTATAAAATCTCACCGGTAAAATCTGGAAATGTTTGATTTTCTGGTGGTGACACAGTGTGAGTACAAACGCCTTAGGATTGCTCTGGCTATCCCTCAAGAGAAACATTCTGTTGCACAAAAGACAATTAAGTGTAAGTATATACTGCATAGTTAGGACAGAGAATCATCCAGAATGTTGTTGAGAATAACTAATGAGCTATGATATGTACCCATCCACTCTGCCCTGCTGATGGATCATCTTGTGGGACTCCTCCCGTGAAATACGACCGTGAAACCAAAGCTGAGTTCTGTGGATAACTGGATCAGAGGAGATACAAAATGCCTTTAAAGGAAAGATGCCATTGAATGTGCACAGTATTCCATTGAAAACTGCTCACTTGTCTTAAGCAAAAATCGTTCCTTTTTGCCTTGCCATCTCAGGAATAATTTGCATTTTAAAGTATATTAAATTGGGTAACACTTTAAATTATAAAAATCATTCACAATTTTACTGTATTTTTGATCAAATAAATTTAACCTTGGTGATAATAGGAGACTTCTTTCATAAACATGATAAAGCATGATTAACTATTAATTGCTAGTGTAAATGCATGTCACAATAATGATAATAATCAACAAAAGACATTAATTAAACACTAGAAAGTACCTCCGCTTAATGATGAGGGGTGTAATGGGCTGGGGCTTCCTAGGATATTCATACGCTGACTTCTCTTCTGAAAAAAGACAGGGAGACATAAGCCACACAATCAACTTTAACATTTCTACATCATGCTAATTTGAATACAAGTTTAAACAGTAATTCAAGCATGTTACTGAAAAAAAATACAGTTATATATATATATATATATATATATATATATATATATAAAATCAAATAATTAAACAATCAAAACAAATATGATTATTGGAACTGACTCTCCAGGCATGTCCCTCTTCCATGGCAGCACTCTGAGCCTCCACGGGATTGTCAATCACTCGGCCTATCCTCCCTGAGAAATCCATGGCTACAAGAGAGTTCTCTGAGACACTCCTCTGGAAAAGAAGATCGGAAGTAACAATGACTGCCAATGAGTTGCCATATTACAGATGTGTTGTATTTTGCTAATTATCTGGTCAATATCTAGTACATGTTCTAAACCAGTAAGTAATAGTCAAAACTTTTTAAGCATAACATGAACATAGATGAATTGTTGTGGTTTGTTTCCTTATCATTTGTTTTTAAATGACTTATTTTTCATCTCTCTCTCTTTTTTTTTTTAATTGTCAGCATTGCATAATATTCATAAGACAAGCTGTAATAATAACTTCACTGCCAACACTTCAACCATCATTCCATAATGTGAGATCATGGCCCACATATTGACACATGTCTGATTAATGCTCCATCTGTGAGGTAGAGAAGAAGAGAGAGAGAATGCAGGAGTAGGTTAAGAGTGAGTATCTTACCACAGGCGCTGAGAAGTGTGAAAGCAACGTTTTTCGCTGCTGGGGGATCTTGTAATTTTGATAGAGTAAAATTCCATACTATAAGGAAGAAAAATTTAAAAAGTGTTAAAGAGTCAAAAAAGAATGATACTCTTTAACAAAACACCAGAATAAAACATTACGCCAATATACAGAGCTATTCATTGCATTTTCCTCAAAGTGAAATGATGCTGCCTGAATTCAGAAATGTGTTCGACCACAATGATAATTTGCTCCTCAAATATAAGCTCATGACAGCAGAATTAGACGTAAGTGTAAGGTACACATTGCCATAACTGTATTTTAATCAATTTGTCCTCTTTTCTTTTCAGTACACAACATAATGTCTTACACCATTTATGTCTGATGCATAGAACATCACTGCATTATGTCTGTCACAGATGCTCTAGATCAGTCCAAGAAAAATACTGTGCAGATGTTAGATCAGCCTGGAAAAGTGTGAGGGTTCTAGCTCAGCCAGCGAAAGAATGCAGATTCTAGATCAGGCAAGGAAAAGGTGCAGGTTCTAGATCAGCCTAGAAAAGAGTGAGGGTTTAAGGTCAGCCAGGGAAAGAAATGCAGGTTCTAGAACAGCTAAGGAAAGAGTGCATGTTATAGATCAATCAGGGAAAGGATGTGGGTTTCAGATAAGCCTATAGAAAAGGGTATGGGTTCTAGATGAAAGGGTGCATATTTTAGAATAGCCAGGGAAAGTAGGGGGTTCTAGATTAGTCAGGGAAATCAGTAGTTTCTAGATTAGCCAAGAAAAGAAGATGTTAGATCAGGCAAGGAAAGCAGGGGGTTTTAGATCAGCCTGAAGAGGGTGAGCATTCTAGATCAGCCAGGAAAATTTCACAGGTTACTGCAGATCAGATAAGGAAAGGGTACCGATTCTAGATCAGGTGTGATCTAGATAAGCCAGGAAAAGGTGTGGGTTCTAGCTCAGTTAGGAAAAGCTTAGGTTCACTGAAGAATGGAAAGGGTGCAGGGTGTGCAGTCAGTTAAAAGTGGAGGTATCAGATCAGTCAGTGAAATTGTTCAGGTTCTAGATCAGTCAAGTGAAGGGTTATGGTTAAATACCATAACCAGGATAAGGATAATCCAAGGAAAGGGTGTTTGTTCTGGCTCAGTCAGGAAAAGGAGACTCAGGTTCCAGATGAAGGGAAAGTGTGCAGGTTCTAAATCAGCCAACGAAAAGGCGCAGTTCCATCAGCTAGTGAAACGGGATTCCACTACCAACCTTGAAGAGTCTGAAGGCTGTCATCCAGCATGTTCTGCTCTGCTCGTCCTCTGCGCACAACATCCTCAGTTCTTTCACTTCATTCCTTACTTTGTTAGGCTGCAAATTATCATAATGCACAACATTAGTCCCTCTGCTGACAAAACCTTTGTGAGATGTTTAACTGTGTTTTTCTACACATAATGTTTAAAGCTTTTTAGGCTGAATTTGAGTTGAATGTTTAACATTTAACTTTTCAGAGCTTATCTACTTTAAGAGTTCTCATAACAGACCACATAAACTTACTTTTATGCAGAATTCAAAGTCAGTCGGTGCATTGTGCAGCTTTCTCCCCGTTATTACTGTAAAGACATTGCTGTCCTCCAGGTCTGCTAGTAGCTGTAAATGCCTGGGCTCCTGTGAAAGATCAGCCAACAGCTCATGTCATTTAATGGATAAGGAGGGGAGAGGGCACTAAAAGAGCACTCAAAAATGGGGGAGGGGTCAAATCTAACCAGCACCTGATGACATTAACAGAGGCTTGTACATGATATAGACTGGTAAAGCTGTTTTACCAGTCTGTTTTTTTTTTTTTTTTAGTTTAGGGTTGCCATTTCACCAGTATCAAAGTTAACTCACCTTTGACGTTCCTTTTGTTGAGAAGTACAATCCTGACCGTCTTAAAAACACATACAGTTTCTTCCATGATTTCCTGGCCATTTCTTTCACATACAAATATCCCTGGATCTCAGGACAACTGCTGGAGTTTAAAAAGTTCTGGAGGAAAAAGAAGAAAATAATTGAAAGTTCGATAAATCAAACAGTCAGCTAAGATTTGTGGTTTCCTTTCAGTGTGAACTATTCACCACTAGGTTTTAACAAAGGTCTGAATGTGCTAATAAACCACTGATTAAAAGTAATATTTTCTAAACTGGATATCCAGGAAGGTTATGGGGGATACGGGGAAATAAGCTAAATCTGACAAAATGCATGTATATTTAGGGAAATGTTATTTTGTAAAAAATAAAAATAATAATAATAATATAATGTAAAATAATTAGTCAATTATGAAAAATAATTAATTGTGTGTGGTGTATCTTTGTTCACTAACAGTCGTCAGCTAGATATTAAGAGAGGGGTCTTATCAAGTAAAAAGTCAAAGATGTATGGGCTGATGTTAGATCAGGGGGTGATGGGAAAGAGAACACGTGTCTATGTTGTACCTGCAGGAGCTGGGATGGGGGGATGGTCCCACTGGTCTCCTGACAAAAGGCAACCATTTGCTCTGGGAAGAAGTTCTGTCGAAAAACATGTTTTAGCTCAAGGTTGTATGATTTTAATTTATCTTTGTACTTTGTCAGAATAGTCATTCCCAGCTAAATCCTTATCCTCTAAACACATAGTCCATTAAACTAAATATATAGTCCATTTAGTCTAAAATACACAGCCATACGAATTCAATGTTATATAACTCTTATTAGTAGTATCATGCAAAGTTAATCCTTGTATAAATGCTCTGAAACACTACCCATAATGCTTATTAAATGAAAAAAAAAGTCTACTACTACTACTAATAGTAATAGTAATGCAAACTAACAATAAGAAATTCTGTGTGATTAAAGACATTCATCTGCTTGTGTAACATTTTGCCTCAGCACACAGAAAAAAACAATCTTCAACAAAGAGAAAAAAAAAGCCTGTCTTTAGTGGTTAAGGTGGATGAAAGAAAAGAGCAATTATTCGAAATTAGGTAATACTTTAGAATGGGGAACACTTATTCACTATTAACTACGACTTTTCCCTCAGTAAATTCCTAATTTGCTGCTTATTAATAGTTAGTAAGGTAGTTGTTAAGTTTAGGTATTTTGGTAGTGTCAGACTCTGTTCCATGTTTCGTGTGTGTCCTGCTCCCCATGTGCCTTCCCATGCCCTTATTTGGTTTGTTTCCTGTTCCTCCCCTGATTAATTAAGTTGATTTCTTCCCAGGTGTTTCCCTTGATGTGTCATGGCTCCCAGGTGTGTCTCGTCATCCCCTCCTCCTGTGTGTGTGTATATAAAGTGTTCCCAGTCCCTAGTTCTCTGTCCGATGTTGAAGGTCTTCGTGTGAACGTCTTCCTGTGTTCGTCTCCCTTGGTTCCTTGGTGCAAATAAAGTCTTGGTAAAGCATTCTCCAGCGTCTCCTCGTCCCTCGTGTGTGTGCACCGTGACAGGTAGGATTAGGGATGTAGAATAAGGTCATGTAGAATAAGGCATTAATATGTGCTTAATTAGTCCTAATAAATTGCTAATATTCTAGTGATATGCATGCTAATAAGCAACTAGTTAAGATACCCTAAAATAAAGTGTTACCCGAAATTATTCTAAAAGCTCATTGGTCCAAAAAACAACAAAACAATGAAGTATTACGTAATCTTTTAAAAACATAAGCATGCCACCCATTGACTTTCTTCTACTGATTTTCTACCAGCACAAGGAATTTCAGGAAATTTAATACAAAGCTTTGCATAGCTCAGAAAAATAAATAAATAAAATACAATAAAATAATAGCTTATATTAGTTACAGTGCACATAATTACTTCAAAGTTAGATGAAAATCATTGGTATAGCATTGTATATAACCTGAGCCATATTAAAAGATAAACTACAGTAAGATGAAACCAGATCCAAGTTTATCGGAATCCAGTACTCCAAGGAGCCACATTTAGCTGTTTCAGGCTTAAATTCTTCTCAAATGGAAATACACATCATCATACAAATGACAATCCCACAATCTACAAGTGACTGATCAATCATTGGGTGACAAACAATTTGGGGCAAACAGAAAATGTTGCTGACCAGCGTGAGAATCTTTACGAAAGTCACACTGTATCTGATTGTGTATTTAATACAATTTGTTTTTTATTCATTTTATGGAAGCACGGACACTTTGCTAAGTGCAAATAGAATGCAATCTGATCAATCAAGGCGCATGAAGTGACTGTGTAAATAGGCCCAAAGAAAGTGTTATCAAAGATTCTATAGTCAAGAGTGTACTTGTGTTACAGCAATTTAAAACAGTGTCAAGGGACAAACTAATTGTACGGTTAAAGCACAGATTTCCTTCTCCAGCTGAATTTACAAGAGGACTGAATGTTTGTGAAAGTGTTTGATTACCAGCCCAAACAGTAAGAGGCATGGGTTTCTTTTGGATTGTGTGAGAGCAGCTCACTGAACTGGAATCATGTCACTTGATATCTGCATCTACCAAATAAGACTGAAAACAGTCCATTAATGTGAGGAGCTTTCCTTTAGCGCTAATCCGCGTCACGTTACTTATGTACCTACTGACACCTGCACCCACACTAAGAGAAGGAAACAAAACATAATCTACAATCATATTAACCTAATTATGAAATAGTTCAAGTGAGGTCTTGGATTAACTTACCAATGGATTTTTAAAGAATTCATATTTGGCATAGTTCTTCCTGAAGAGAAATTTACTCTCACTGGTCATTGACGCCTGCACTTGGACAACCAGTTCATGGTCTTCTAAACATCTTTCTGTGGAATGATGGAGAAAAAAATAAATCAGGTCAAAATGAGTCACATACACACTGTATTCACTTCAAAATCTGTATTACACTTGTGAAAAGGTCTGTGTTTATAGACATATGACAAAAATGCATCTTTGTAACCAAAACGTGGTGTAATATTTGCATCTTGAATGACATTGTCGGTTAGCATTCATGCAGGCAGACAAAAAATAAACAGGGTGAGCATTCCCTGCCTGATGAAAAGAGAGTTTGTCTGGAGGAGATAACCCCCCTGCACACCACCTCTCTCTCCCCATCCCCCATTCAGCTTAACCAGTACAGGGACTTACTGACTTAAAAAAAAAACTCCATGTGATCTGTGCATAAATCGATCTCTATTTAGTTTCCCTGTCTTTCTCACAATCTCTGTCCTACCGGTCTGAATGATGGTGTAGCTAATGCTGCCCATGAACGCTCAAAAACCTAACTCTAAACCCTTACATGGACATGTTCTTCATTCAACTGTGGAACTGTTCAGAGCGCTTGTCTGGCAACAGGAAACTATAGGGGGATAAGTTCCACCAACCCCACAAACATCCTCAAGTGGCGATCATACTTTTCCATTTTTCATTCCATTTACTTCCATTCATTTGCATTTGAATATGGAAGACAGGAAAAGCAAACTCATGCAAATTTTGCTGCGTTCCAGAGTTCAAGTTTGGTGAGCTCTGCCCTGCAAATTTGTATCACATGAAGACGTGTAACCAATAGAAGATTGATATATCACGATGTGACCTCTTACACAGTGCTTAATTTGTAAATGAATAATTGCCGGATCCAAAACAGCAATTAAAAGGCGCTGTGACCGACATTGAAAATACATCTTAAGTTTTCCCGGAATATTCAATGACGTCACTAAACGGTGATGCCACACTTCTAAGAGAGCATCGTTCACAAGTTTCTGCATTAACCTAACTAGGGCACAGCTTCAAACCCTGGGTCAAAAATGAGTTACCAGGATGATTTTAGGAAAATGTATATCTAAGATACATTAAAATTAACAAAATTAGTTTTCATAAAAATAAAATAAAATCATAGTATAGGTATATATCTGACTTAAGTAACAGTTTTAATTAAACGCGCATTCTTGCTTTATTTTACAAAATCACAAATGTTCTGTTATTTTGAGTGTGCAAAAATAAAAGTGCTTTCGAATTATGTCTTACTCTTATCTGTATGATTAAAAATGATGTATTTTATGTTTCAGCTGTTCGATCGCGCCGGCGCCTTGCGCGCTCACACACCACATATTCTAGCAATTCAAACTTACATCGCAGTCT